AAATTTACTTGCCACTAGATTTTATGCTCTGTGAAGTTAGCAACAAATGTTAACATACTATATATTGTTTATGTATAGGTTTATTATAGTCTATACTGGGTAACTTAAGTTTATATGTAAGATAAGGAAGATTTTTAAGGCCTTTAATAATTATATTGGTATTGAGCTATAGGAAATCACTTTTGTTAAGAGTGGCCACAAGAGTTGTACAGTGTCAGCAAGAACCTGGCCAGATTCTTAATCCAACTTTTTCCAGGAATCCTGCAGGAGCTGCCAAATAATTTGAAACATGACTCAGTGAGCTCTAGACCATGACATCGATGATAACCCAATTTGTTTACCTTAAGGAGTTGGCCTTTGCCTGGCTTGTTTAGAAATGAGGCTTTTTAGGAGGAGTGACATTATTTGTTCTACGTATGAAACTGCCTTATTTCCATGAAGCTAGCCTGAAGACATCCAAATCCCTTTTGTCTGCAGTGGAATCGGAAATAAGTCTGGGTGATGAACCGATCACTACATCATAACACAGGAAATCTTCTTATTCTCATGAAAATGCCTCTATTATGTCATTTTTTCTCTTTAGAATGAGAAGGAAAAAAGTCGTTGCTTCTTTTCTCCTGGGTACTATAAACATTTTTTTCTGTTATTGTAAGTTAAAATTTATAGTCCTAGAGAATATGACTTAACCCTCCTCCAACCTGCCTGTTTTCAACCATCCATCTCTCTTTCTTTATTGAATTCTCTGAACTTCTTTCTTGAGGCCCATAACCTTTCAGCAGTTCTTATCATTTCAATATTTCAATCAAGCTTACAAGATTATGTATGTTCCACTCTCTTGTTAGGGAAAATCCTCTATTGGTACTTTTTGAAGTTATTTCATTTCATTTGTAATTATTTTTATCCAATTTGTATAAAATGGTATAGGGGGAAGATAGAGGAAATTTTTTAAAAGATTTATCGTGTGTGTGTGTGTGTGTGTGTGTGTGTGTGTGTGTGTGAGAGAGAGAGAGAGAGAGAGAGAGAGAGAGAGAGAGAGAGAGAGAGAGAGCTCTCTCTCACACACACACACAGGCTCACAGGCTCACACAGCAGGAATGGAATTTTCTGGAGCTGGAGTTATAGGCAGTTGTGAGCCACTCAGCATGGGTGCTGAGCACTGAAGGTTGGTTCTCTGGAAGAGCAGGCAGTAAGAACTATTAACCTGAGTCTTCTCTCCAACCTAAAGCAGAGAAAACTCTTACCTTTTCCTCTGAGCTTGGCATTTTTTTTTTTTTTAAGCCTTGAACATATTGATTAAGGCCCGAGTCACAGTCACCTTTGTAAAACAAGACTGGTGTTAAGTAGAAGGCTGGGGGTAGAAATATAAAAACATTAATAGGCAGTCAGTAAATAATAAACATTATGTGACTGCATGCTTGATGAAATAGAAAACAATAGCTCTTGAGCTTTTCAGTCATTAAACTAATATTTTTAAAGTATTTATTTTTATCATTTTCTGTGTATGGGTGTTATGTGTCCATGTATGTCTATGTACCTTGTTCTTGCTGTGGATCCCCTGGGACTGAATTTATAGACAGTTGTTAGCCACCATTTGGTTGGTTGAACTTGAACCCAAACCCTTTCCAAGAACAGCAAGTTCTTTTAAGTGCTGAGCTATCTCTCTAGTCACAAGCTATGATTATTAATTGCCCTGCACAAATCTCTCATCACCTATAAGGTTTTCCTCACCCTCCATAAAAATCGATGTTCATTTGAGAGGAGAACTATAAAACTCTAACCTTGCCCCTACCAGTGATATAACAAGTACTTTTTTGTTGCATAAGTCTTAATTGAGTTACTATTTGAACAATCTAATTTAATCCTTCATTTTCTTGAAGTTCAGGTTTGTGTATATATATATATATATATATATATATATTACTTTCTTTGTAGACTAGCTATGTAGGGCAGGTAGTTGTAGGTTTAAGTCTGAACTTCCCTTGTTGTAGATTTTTTACTTCTCTGCTTTTCAGTTTCTTTACGTTGTAAAACCCAGTAGTGGTATTATTTTATAGTGAGTGAGAGGGCGCCATAAAACTGCAGAATAGGTTTCACTTGCAGACTTGCCATGAGCAGTTGGTTATGATTCCTTGAGGAGACTAACTTTGAAAAGAATTGTACCGCTCAGATGTGTAGGCTAAGAGGACCGAGTCGAGTGAGAATAGGTTAGACATTTGCCAGCTTGCTACCCTAATTTACTGTGTACTGAGTATTGTCATCACTTGTTCCAATGGATGATTATATAAGATTTTATAAATGATAAGTCTTATAATGCATACAGGATACTTTCCCGTCTTCTTACACGTCCCATGATTATGTTGTACATTGGATGTATGGATCTCTGCCGTTTCCCTATATCTCAAGCCTGTATCTTGCAAATTGGTGTTACTTACAAATTCTTAAGAAAGTAGTTATATACTACTTGTTAATACTTACAAGATCAGTATTTTATCTCAGAACAATGTGTTCTTAATATTTCTGGGAGGAAAATAACATAGTATTTTCTGAATTTTTATTTTTACATGTGAATAAGTTAAATGTAATTTATACAATTTGAATCTCAAAGCACTCAGGACTTGGGATTCTAATACTTTTCTGTAAGAATCCCTCTCCCTAGAAGTTAAAGGTTTAATAGACAAAAGCAAGTGCCCTAATCGATGCAATGGTTGTTTAGCTTTCAAGCATTGACATGGAAAACATGATGACCTGAAGACCTGCGGTAGAATTTCAGGTTGATTGAAAGTGTGCTGTAAACCTATCTTCCTTCCAGCTTTGTAATTCATTTTTACAGATACATGTTCAGACTTACTTTATCATTAATTGCATCCTAGTTTTCAATACTTTAATCTCTTTGTATTATACTTGTTATATAAATCATATCTAATATAGATATGGTTTATTATTCAAAGAAAAGTTACCAACTTTTTCTTATTTGGAAGAAAACATACAAGGTAAGGAAAAGAAACAAAATAAAACTTCATCTGAAATTGTCAGTTTTTGTAAATATATTAAAATAAAATGAAGAACGGCATTGCCAGGCTTGATGGCACACAACTGTAATCCCAGCACTTGGGAGGACAGAGCTAGGAGAATGTCAGTTCCAGTCTAGACTAGGAGAGAGAGAGGGGGGAGCAAGAGGAGGAGAGAGGAGAGAAGGAGGGAGAGCGAGCTTTTCTCAAGCTTAAAAAAAAGGTAATTATTTCAGAAGCTTGAGAAACTGGATAGAAATCCTTTATAGCTGTCACTACTACTGAAAACAATGCTACATGCTCTGGTGTGGGGATCACTGCTTCTGGCACCTGACCTTAACCACAGGACTTAATCTAGTCACAATCAAATGACGGCATGTTAAAACTTCATGGTTCAAAACCTCAAGCGTTCCAAATTAGCACTTTCTCAATAGTTGTGTTTAAGAACTGCTGTTAAAACTGCAAACAGATAGTTTTGGGTAGATTTTTAGCTAAACAACCAAAAAACAGGTAATTTTGCGTATTGTTTGACAGTAATACTTTTTACTAACCAACCACGTAAAGGGCATTCAAAGTTCAAGAGCCAATTCAGTTTATGAGACCTATTTTTCATGATAGTAGTATGAAAAAAAAACCCAAGCAAACAGCACTATTTTTTTTTAAGTGGAGTTGTTTTTTTTTTTTTTTTGAGTGGAGTTTTCTTGAATTAAAGATGCATAACTAATGTGGCTAACAGGCTTAAGGGTGCTACTGATTGTGCTTCTAAATGGAAATGCTGTTATGATTATGGCCAGTCATAAAAGTCTGCTTTGTAATAAAGTAAGTTACTCGTCTCGCCTGGACATCTACATTTGCCATTACTATTAAAATTATATCATTTAACTTAATTATGTAAGTTATGTTAAAGTACAATATTTTTCTACCTATTGAGAGTATTCTTTTATACTCTAGCATAAAGGAGATAGGGATGATAATAAGGAAATCACTTAGTAGTTTTGGATTTATTTATCCTTTTTACCCCTTCCTACTCGGTTGTTAGTTAGCTATAAATTTTAGTAGCTAAAAAATTAATGGCTGAAAGGCCATGGTTTTGTTTTGTGTATACAAAGTGGTCTCACTTGTTAATCATCATATTTTAATTGACTTTTCCAAATGACTCTGATAAATTTTATTTACTTTAATTAACATTGAGAATGCTGAAGAAAAATAACACTAGCTACATATATTTGTTAAGAGAAATTCTTACTGTAGTTCACCATAATCTATAATTTGTAATCCTCCTGTCTCAGCCTCCTGAATACTAAGATTGCAGGATTGTTCCTGGCCTAGCAACAGTGTTAAATGACTCCATGAGAGCTCATACATACCCACAACAATTTAATTAAAAATATTTTAACTAAATGGTGCTTGGCAATTTCATTTTCAAAAACCAGTTATTCTGCATAACACCTTTTTTTTTTTCTTTTCTTGCATTTAACTTTAGTGTGCATATGGAGCGTGGAAGACAACTTGTGACAATCAGTTCTCTCCTTCCTCCATATGGAGTTCTGGAATCAAGCTCAGATTATCACTCTTCATAACATGCTTACCAGTTGGGTCAATTCAATATGCTTCTGCTCTTAATTTTCAAAACATGTCTCTACTGAACCTGAAGATTTACAATTCACCTAGGGCAATTGTCTAGTAAGCTTCAAGTCCAAGGCTCACACTGCCCCACTTTACTTTGTATTCATGGGTGCTGGGCATCTGAACTCAGGTTCTTTGATCACCTGGCAGACTCTGATCCATCTCTCTAGTGTACCCCATGATGTTTTAGTCCAACTTTGCATACTGTTTAAGTCATGTCAGATATGGCTCCTTCATGACTTATGATTCTCTACTGGTGCAATTCCAAGGCCTTTTGCTTTTTGGAACAGTGCCTATCATTATCCTAGTGTGCATTGACACATGAGAATTGCAGCACCCATGTGGCTTTGGTGATTCTCTCTCCAGGTGAAGCATACATGCGGCTAAGTAAACTTCCAGAAGCTGAACATTGGTACATGGAATCATTGAGATCCAAGACTGACCACATCCCTGCTCACCTCACCTATGGGAAACTCCTCGCCTTAACAGTAAGCACCTGTCTTTCATTCTTCAGAAATTGATTTTGTCTCCATGTGTACTGGGGATCGCCCGAGTAGTACTGATTCTGAACCAGTGAATCAGTTCATCAGTGATAATAATACTGTTACAGACCTCAACAGGCAATGGAGAAAAACAAACCTTTGGGTCTGTCCTATAAGAAACGAGGGGTGATGAGCCTTGATATATCAGCAAGACAAACATAAATGGAGAACCTCAATTATGTTGTTACTCATTCATGTTGTCTTAAGAGCAACATTTGTAAATGTTTTGCAAAAGCTATTAGCATCAAATTGGCTGGGATTAGGACTAAGGCCAATTTTATCAAATGATAGCCATATGAAATGTTATATACTTTATGGGGCTACAGAGGTGGCTCAGAGGTTGAGAGCATTGACTACTCTTGTAGAGGTCCTACACTCAATTCCCAACAACCACATGGCAACTCAAAACCTACTAAAATGAGATCTGATGTCCTCTTCTGTGTGCAGGCAAACATGCAGACAGAACAGTGTTTATATAATAAATAAATAAAATAAATCTTTAAAAACTTTATACATTTTTTGAATTCCTTCTACCTAGAAGCAATCTATAAGAGACTTATAGACTTGCATTACATCAGGGAATTAAGAAAAAACTCTACTAAGAACTTTTGTTCCAAGTATTCTTCCAAAAACCACAAAAAAACAAAAAACACACAAAGCTAGAAGGATTACCATAGGTACAAAAAGAATGGTGGAAAAAACTTGTGATGAGGTTTGGGTAAGTCAGATAATCTTTTGTTACCAAATAAGGTGGATTCTAAGCTAATGTTGGTAAGCATGAAGCAAGAAGGATTAATTTCAAGAAATAAAAATGTAGAGAAAGTTACTGCCTCCAGCAAGTATAGAGTTATTTCCAAAGCAATGCTTTCCTCATGCAATGCAAGCATTGTGATTGTACTGGGAATTCTACACATATTCATATAAGAAAGTAAAGCTTTTTTGTGGGCAAATGTATTTCTGAGCATACTCATTTTAAGGCCACTGCATGGGGACAAAATATCAGAGATAAATCTAAGGGCAAGCTTTGCTCAAGTTCATGGAGCTCAAAGGATGTACAGAAAATCTTGGATATGGACAACCTGTACCATAAAGCTGGTTTAAAGAAAAAAAAAAGATGGCTCAAAAGATTGGCATAGTGGTACACACCTTCAATTCCAGCACTTAGAGGCGGAGGTGGGTGGATCTATGTGAGTTCAAGATTATCCTGATCTACATTGAAAGTTCAAGGACAGCCAGGAACACATAATAGACCTTGTTTCAAGCAATCACACAAACACAACACCATTAAGAAGAATGACTCTGGTAAACTTTTTATTATAAATTTTTAGCTAATGGAAGGGAAATGACACTTTGAAGGCCTTTACCCTTAACATTGCCTGTACCACTGAGTAAAATGTTAATGAGGAATGACTGCACAGTAGCAATTAGGGGCTTGAGAGATGGAAATGGATAAGATATTTGAACTGATTTGGGAAAGAGATCAGGTGGAGCTATGATTAATTTGCCAAAGGCCACCGTCTAAAGAAGTTTGTTCAGGAAGTGTCCTTGTGGTATGATTGAACATCCTTTGGGTATATGCGCAAAAGTGGTATCGATGAGTCTTAAGATATATTGATACCCAATTTTCTAAGAAACCACCATACTGATTTCCACAGTGGCTGTACAAGTTTGCATGCCCACCAGCAGTGGAGCAGTGTTACCCTAATTCCACATCATCTCCAACACAAGCTGTCATCATTGTTTTTGATTTTAGCTTTTCTGACAGGTGTAAGATGGTATCTCAGAGTCATTTTGATTTGCATTTCCCTGGCGGCTAAGGATGTCGAGCAATTCCTTAAATGTCTTTGGCCATTTGAAATTCTTCTAATGAAAATTCTGTTTAACTCTGTACCCCATTTGTAATTGGATTATTTTGTAGTTTGATGTCTAGTTTCTTGAGTTCTTTATATATTTTGGAAGACCTAGCACAAACCCAAACAGGCTGAGCTCCAGGAAACCAGTCCAAGAAAGGGAGGAGGGAATACATGAATGAGCAAGGGAGGACAAGATCATGATGGAGAAATCTAAAAACAGCTGAACCAAGCTTGTGGAAACTCATGAACTCTAGACTAACAGCTGTGGAGCCTCCATGGGACCAGGCTAGACCCTCTGTATGTGGGAGACAGTTGTGAAGTTGGGCAACAGAGGGGCCCCTGGCAGTAAGACCAGAATCTATCCCTGGTACATGAGCTAGCCCATTCCCTATGAGGGGATGCCATGCTCACTTAATGCAGGGGGAGGGGCTTGGTTCTACTACAACTTAATGTGCCAGGCTTTGTGGACTCACCATGGGAGCTCTGGGAGCTCTTACCCATTAGGAGGAGTGAATCAGGGATGTGCTGGGTGGGGATCTGAAAGGAGTGGGTGGGAGAAGGGGTGGGAGGGAGAACTGTGGTTAGAATGTAAAATGAAATTTTTATTAAAAAGTAAAAGAAAAGAGTAACTATCAAGTTAAGAAAAAAGTTTGCTCTGTGTAGATAACAATGAAAAATCAGTTTGTTCCAAAGACTCCTGGAGAAGAGCATGAACCCTGGGCATCTGGCACGGTACAGGACTGAGTTAAAGTCTGTGTAGTGGGGTAATAATTTTAATCATATGACTGTGGGAGTTGGGCTTTTCCCTGTGTACACAAATGCTAGGAAGCAGCACCCTTCTCTAAGGCAAGAGCAGAGGCTTTGATGATAAAGCAAATGAGTAACAGGTCCATGGCACAGGTAGAGCTCATGCAACTGAAGGTTAGATGAAGGGAAAGCACTGCTTCCCTCTACATGTGTGGTGAGTGTCTCCCCCAGAGTTGCATAAGCTTGAAGCTTGAATCTTTTTTTTTAATTAGTTCAAATTAGGAACAAGCTTGTTTCACATGTCAATACCTTCTCCCTCTCCCTCTCCCTTCCCTCACCCTCACCCCTCCTACCCCATCCTCGACCTACCCCCCCACCCCATCCACCCTCCACTTCCAGGCAGGGTAGGGCCCTCAACAGGGGCTCCACAAAGTCCAGTTCATCATCCTTCACTGGGCCTTGGCCCTTCCCCATCTGTCCAGGGCAAGAGTGCATCCCTTCATGTGGGATGGGCTCTCAAAGTTCCTTTTTTTTTAAAATTTATTTATTAGTTATAGTTAGGGAACAAGCTTTTTTCAAGTCCCTTCTCCCTCTCCCTCCCCCACCCCCAGCCCACACCCCACCCCATCCACCCCCACTCCCCAGGCAGGGTAGGGCCCTCAATGGGGGCTCTGCAAAGTCCACCAAATAACAGCATCTGGGGTCAATGTGTTCCCCCTTGTTCAGACCAACTGTTTCTGTGGGTCACACAAACTTAAACTCTTAGAATAATGTGCTTCACAGTCCTCATTCTAACATGTTGACTGTACAAACATTCTTGTCATTTTAGTCTTTTGTATTGTCATTTCGATTACTAAGTTATGATTGGTTTATCATAATTATATAAAGTTTAATTTTTGTTGTTACTGCAGAGTATTTAGACTCTGGAAATTTCCCTAGTGCCAGATCTCTCCTTGGACCTAAAATGGCTCCCTCTGATATGGTATCTCTCATCCTGCTCTCCTCTATTCTTCCCCCCACTCAATATTTCTGCTTCTCCCTTTCCTCCTCTCCTCTCCTCTTCTCCTGCTCTCATTCTGGCAGCTCCCTCTCCCCTTCCCTCCTGCTCTCAATTAGCTCAGGAGTTCCTGCCCCTTCCCATTCTCGGGGTCCATGCAATTTATCCCCTAGAATCCTTCATGTTTCCTTATATTTTTGGTGAAGAGGATTGTAGGCTGGTAATCCTTTGCTCTATGTTTAAAATTCATATATGAGTGAGTACATACCATGTTTGTCTTTTTGTGACTGGATTACCTCACTCAGGATGGTTTCTTCTAGTTCCATCCATTTGCATCTTAACCTTTCATGTGGTGAAAATCTTAAGTGGCCACCAGTCAGAGAGGGGCTGACATCACCTTCACAAAGGGTTAATGCTGATCTCAGGGTAAGTGAATTCTTGTCAAAGCAAGGCCCCTGATTCTCCCAGGCTATATATATTGTCATGTGATCCCTCCCTCTTGGTCATTGATAATATTCAGGCTTCTGTACTGGCCTGTCCTTGGGGTTCTGACAGGATACACCCTCAGCTGCAGCCTCTAAGAGCACCACCTGTGCACATTCACTACATTCCCTTTTAAAAGGGCCCCGCCCACCTCCCATCCTCCTCTCTTTCTCTCCCTCTTTCTACCTTTCTTTCTCTCTCTCTGCCTCTCTTTCCTCTCTCCTGCTACTCCTATCCTAGGAGGCTGGTCTTCTCCTTCCCTTTCCCCTTTTTATGATCCCTTTCCCTAATAAAAGCCCTCTCCACTTGAACTCTGTTGCATGGCATCTTTCTCTCGAGCACCATTTTTTTTTTAATTACAACAGTCGTGTTCCCACTGTGATGTCATCTGTCATGCTGAGATGTACCCAGAAGACCCTTCATACAGCAAAGCAGGAACTGGTGCACTGCCCATAAATACACCCGGCCTGGTGCTTGGTTGTGGATCTCTGCATCTGGTTCCATCAATTACTGGACGAAGGCTCTATGATAATAGTTGGGGTATTCAGCAATCTGATTATAGGGTAAGGTCAGTTCAGGCACCCTCTCCACGATTGCCAGGAGTCTTAGCTGGGATCATCCTTGTGGGTTCTTGGGAATTTTCCTGGCACCAGGTTTCTGCCTAACCCCACAGTGGCTCTCTCTATCAACATCTCTCTTTCATTGCTCTCCTGCTTCATTACTTCCCCCACCTTCCTGTTTCCTCATGTTCTCACCCCCCATCCCCTCCACTTCACCACCCACCTTGCCCCCAGTTCACCGAGGAGATCTCATCTAATTTCCCTTCCCAGGAGGGTCCATGTGTCTTAGGGTCCTCCTTGTGTACC